TATATATGTCCATACAAAATTCTTGCTGCGTTTTTATAGTAGCTTTAGTCATAACACCAAGTGCCTGTAACAACTCATGTTTATCTGCTAGTGAAAGGTGAAGCAAATTTAGGCGCATTCACATAATAGAATGCCATTTAACAATCAGAAGGGACAAATACTGATATAACTAATAATATGTGTGAATGTCAGGAGCATTTTAGTAAATAAAGGAAGCTTGCATTTCTATAATTTCATTTATATGACATTTTATAAGCAGTTACCCTGTATGGACTGAACTCAGATCACTGGCTGTCATGAATGGGGTGGAATGTGTGGTTGATTGTAGAGAGATACATAGAAATCTTTTGGATGATAAATATGTTCATTATCTTGAGATAGTGGACAAAATTTTGTCAAAATTCGCAGATTTTATGAAGTCAAGTCTAAAGCTATACTCTGTAATCAAACCTTAATGTTTTTGCAGTGAAACATGATATCTGTGTATACTGAATGGGTTAGGTTTTGCTGCCAAATGAGTTTTTAGAATTTTTGGATTTGAGATTTGCAAATAAGAAATTATAGATTGATAACCACAGAAAAACGTTCACTGGTGTAGAACAAAGAATATAAAACTATTGGCCATGCTGTTTTAAATCAAATAAGGATTTTACTTTTCTGAGCTGCTTTTTGGGGACCAACATTGTGATAGTAAATAATCAATATCCCACTTCTCCCAGCTTCACCAACATTAGCAGAGACAGCTGATGGTTTAAATAACTGTGGGCATTCCAAGGACACTGACTCAGTACATGGTGTCATAATCTGCCATGCTTAGAATGAGAAATTCCGTCCTTCCTTCCCTCCCCTCCCCTCCTCCCTTCCGTCCCCTCCCTTGCCCACTACACACACACACACACACACACACACACTTCAGAATCTTCTCTGCAGCATAATCCAAATGGCTTTTTTAAAGTACAGGCAAACTTTTGCAGAATTGGTTAACACTGGTTAACGTTGATTAGTAATGTCCTTTAAGAATACCTCTTAACTTTTGATATTATGCTTTAAAGAATGTATCTCAGGATGCAATCATTTTTTGGTCAGTATGTATTTCTATATTTATGATCCAGATGTTAATATTTACATTTTTAACAAAAAGTTTCAAGAAGAAATCTTTAACAGTTTAACCTGTTTACAGCTTGTTATTGTTTTAAAAGTTATTTTATTGCTGTTGTTTTTTTTTTCTTTTGCTTTTATTGCTTCTTCCAAAGCTCAGGTTTGACTAGTTCATGCTCACATATTAGCTTAGTTTAGATACAGCCTGACAGATTTACTACGAGTGAAACATAAGAAAACTCATTTAACTTTCTTGGTGACAATTTCATTAACTGGAAATGAATATGTTGCGGATGATCCCTTAGAAGATTCTCAAGTTAGGCGTAACGAGACGGAAGAAGGGTGACTTTTAAATTATACCCCCCTCATTGCAGATACATATATATAACAAGAGATGTTACCTATCAGTGTGTATTATGCATGCTTTCATGTTAAGAAAAGAAAGATCAGTATTCTCTTTTGGTCCCTTACTGCTTTAAGAATTTGTTGTTCTATGTTCATAATCTTTCTGTGCTACTCCTTCTCAACAAAACCTAGTGTACTTTGATTCTGTCAGTTGCTGAAGAGAGGGGCAAAAGTCCCAATGTTGAAATTAAGATGTCAATATTATGACTTTTCTTTATTGATGTAGGTTTTCTTCATTTTTATTCAGAAAAAGCTGATTTTGTTTTTACACTAGGTAAAAGCAGAGTTGTTTCTGACTACCTCAAGAGAAATAGAAAGGTACTTTTATTCTTTCTCTCCATCTCCCTCCCTCTTTCTCTCTCGTTCTACACACACACACACACACACACACACACCCACCCTCTATCATTAGTTTACTAATAAAAACAGTTCAGACTTTAGGAAGTAACTTTGTGATTTGCTTATTTTATTCATCCCACTTGTTTTATTCTAATCAAAGAAAACTATTTAAGTCATCTATTTTCTCCATTCCTGGCTGCTATTATCTTGACTATAATTGCCTAGTTTCTTTTCTGGTTGATGTATTGCTAGCCTTTATCTGGGTGTTATTAAAGTATATAAGTGCTCCATAGAGCCCCATCGTCTCAGCCAGAATATTTTCCGATTCTCAGCTCAAATGAAACAGATCTGGTATTTTGGCTGTTAAGTAAGTAGCTCAGATTTGTTGTCAGAGTGTGTGAGGAACTCTAAATTCATTATGTTAGTTGTTCCGGCAATGTTGCAGTTGAAAAAATAGCTTCCCTGTTTATGGATTATAGTCCTTTGGCACCAAACAGTGGATGTTAGAATGTATTGCAGAAAAGCTGATTAAAAGTACTAGGTGCTCTTAAAAGTAAGAGTAGAAAGTCATTTTGTAATATCTATGACTCAATCTGTTGGTGCATTTATGTTTATTACCAGTTTATCCAGGTGGGAATAACATTTTTGCAACAGTGTGCCTTATGGAGAAAGCTTCAATAAGCTATGCTCACTGAGAAATTTATGTAGGTATACTGGTTGAAACTTTGAAGATCCCTAATACTTTGTAGTTTTATCACCCTAAGTTTATTAGAGTCATGTTTCATGATTTCAATAGTAGCTACTTGCAGTTCACAATTTTAACATATTTTTACTGTGTATCAGGAAATTTGTATTTACTCCAGCATATAAATTATATCAGAATTCACCTGTCTCCCCTCCCCACTTTAACTACTTTACACCCCAACAGAAGGTCACTGGAGTGGGGTATAGAAAATTGTATATAATTACAAAACTTACAGATCTTTAAATATGCTTTGCACTCCCCTTGTTAAAATTTTTCAATATTTCCTCCTTGTTTTCAAGATAAACTTCAAACTTCTTAGCACAAGAGCCATTCATAATTTTTCTGTTTCTCCTCTGCCCCTTCCAGTGTCCTCTGCGTCAGGTTTAGAGCGACCTTTCCCTTCTCGCATCACTTTGGTTGCAGCCCTTTCCCTCTCTTCTTCACTTGAGCACCACCTGTTCTTCCTGCAAGATTCTACACAAGTTTCCCCTCTTCAGGACCATCCTTGAACCAGAATTACCCTGCTGGTCCCACTTAGACTAGCCTGCAAGTGCTCTATAGCGTCTCGTCAGGCTCTTTTCGTACTCTCATTTCCTTCCTTGTCTGTCCTGTTTAATAGACTAATGTTCTTTAAGTTCAGAAATGATAGACGTGTCGTTTGGTATTAAACCCAGCATTTATGCCTTTCAAATAAATGTTTGCTGATTGACCGAATGACTTTTACAGATAATTCCATAAATGGTTTAATTTGTGCTCTTTTGAGAGTGTGGGGTATACCATTTTCCTCACTTGAAGCCTTTTAAATTGACTTTCCTGTTGCCAACTAAAATTTTTGGGAAGGTGGTTCTTTGGCTCTGGAAGGCAAGAACCTTATTGGCTATGGGACATAACACTATGCATCTTAAACTGTTAGTGAAATAATCTGAAATATGATACCTGGGAATTGGAAAGACCAACTCATAATCATGAAATTGTACCTTTTACTTACTGATATGTGCCATTGAACCTGTGACTTTATTGGCATATAAAATTGCCTTAAGAGAGAATAGTTCACAACTTTTTCTTTTTTCGAAAATATGTTTAGTTTCTAAATTTTAATGTAACCTTAATCTGATAAGCACAACAGAATTTAAACTAAGGGAATATTTGCTAATGATGGGTTATAGAATTTAATCATGTGCTGGTGGCCCTGAGGTGTCTTTATTGTATTTGCATCTGCATTCTGTAACAAAACAGAAAGCGAATGTTTTTGAAAATACATATTTACAAATGAGATTTTAAAAAATAATTTAAGATATTTCTTAACAGAATTATAACATTTTCACTTCATCTAAAATTTTCTTCTTACATGTATACTTGATATTTCCTTTCACCTAATTTTATTTACTTGGACATTTTGTATAATTATTTCTCTAATGATATAGCATTTTGATATAGCTGAATCATAGTCCTGGCTGTTCTTTTTATTTTTTGAAAGAAGAAATACTTTATTATTAAAATTCCTTGTTCTTCATTTGAGCTTGCAAAAGAACTTGCTTGTTAGGTCTTGAAATTGGACTGAAGATTTTAAATTATAAATCTCCTTTCAGCCTAATATATATATAAAAAAAATAGAATGAAGAAAAAAAATCCATGTCTCAATAGTTGTAGATCTGCTCATTCTCAGGCTCCAGCCTCCTTTTAAAAAATATTTTTAAGACATTTTTTCCTTAAAGTTGGTAATTGAATTGGTATAAATGTAAAGATTGCAGCATCTTAAAATATTATTGTCGTTTAAGACTGTATTCGCAGTCTTGGTGTTTGGAGCGCTGCCTCCAAGAGGATACTAGCATTTGGTACGTAGTTCACGTATTTCTTGTCTACAGACCTACCCTATTGAGGCAAAGGCTTCATGATTCTGATATTGTTTTTCTACCGCTATAAAGCTTAGCAATGATAATTAATGTTTTTTTAACTTTCCATGTCAGTACAAATAAAACTGAGTTTTTTGAAGACCAGTAATTTGTACCTTTAAAGAGCTACATTATTTTGCTTTTGTCTCAGAATGTATTATGCTTCACAAGTATACTGTGACAGTCTGAATAGAAAAGGGGGGAGGGGACATTGTCTTCAGCTGGCATGCTGTTATCAGAGGGAATGTGTTTCTGGACATGAGATTTAGCATTCATTGGTTGTCTGAAGAAAGCTATTTCATCTGAGGATTGGACAAGAAGCTGCGTCAATTTGCTGCCCGTCTCCAAGGCACTGGTGATGCTGCCTTCACAAGCTGGCTAACGTCACGGCTCCATCACCCAGCGGGGTGTGGACTCTCTTTTTCTGTTCTTCTCTATTTAATTCTGTATTTGCTGCCTACTGCATTTCTTAATCTGTCTTCTGCCAAATGCTAACAGCATGATATTTTGCAATCATCTAGGTGAATACAAGAAAGACGAACTCCTAGAAGCTGCTAGGTAAGTGATTCCATTCATTTTAAGTGAGTATAATGCATTTAAGGGAGAAAGGGGGAGGGCAGGTGGAAGACTGTAAAATTATAGCATGTTATTGTCTTGCTTGGATTTTGTTATAATGTGAAGAAGATTTTATATTCAATCTTTGTATACTTTATTTGTCATGATCAGTGTATTAAACGATAGTCTTTCATATGGTGATGATTATAAGGTTAATTTTATTTGGTACATTTCTTATTTGGTACCTGCAAACCTTAGTTGCCCAGCTTTTCAAATGATACTATTGGAGTATTTAAATTCCTCTGTCTGTTTATCTCTGAAAATTTTTCTAACAAAGCTTGAGTGAAGGGTATAAAGTAAATGTTAAAAATCCCATCCATTTTCTTTTGTTCTTGGTCATTTATAATTTAATTGATTAGCATTTTGTATGTTTTTTAACTCAAGTGTTTTAGATCACTTATCAGAATAAAGTTTGTTTGTAATTAAGAAGGTGACTTCATGCACATAAACATAAATGAAAATGTAGAAAGCTATATTATCCAGCATGTACCACTATATAATCATTAACAGGAATTAAGTAGGAAATATATTAATTGAATTGAATATAACAAAAGAGATTCATTGTGAACCATATAAAAGAAATCAAAACAAATCCATATTATTTTCCACTCTTGTGAAAAATATTCATAAACATTCATAAACAACTCTATAATTTTATAGAAATTGACTTACTACCTTTTTATAGGAGTGGTAATGAAGAAAAACTAATGGCTTTACTGACTCCTCTAAATGTGAACTGCCATGCAAGTGATGGGCGAAAGGTAAGTTATTTAAAATATAATATCCCCCTTCAATAATTTCTCTTAGCTTTGTGGTTGACATTTTTGAAGTTGGCATATATACACACGAGCATTCACATGTATATATATGGCTTTATTTTTGCTTGCATCTTTTCACGGTAAAATGAAATGCTCCCTGTATATGTATTGGCAGTTGTGACATATTCATAGAGCTGATGAAACATGGATCTTAAGCCTTTTTCTCTTAAATATCAGACACTAAAAGTTGTTAACTGAAACTTCGTTTTGTTGATGGTTAAAATTATAACGGCATATATTATGTTTCTGTTTACAATCATAGAAATTGGAAGTATTTGTTTATGTCTTACTATCTTTTGTTAGAATCTTTGTATTTTTTATTTATTATTTGGTGGAAGAAGATTTGCTTCCTAGACACCAACACTTTTTACATTTAAAACTGAAAAAATGCTGCTAATAATTTCTTTTAGGTCTGTATAACAGCCCTGCTTTTTGTTTAATTGTTTTTGTTGGCTAAGTTTTTAATGAGGTAAATTGTGGAAAAATAGATTAAAGCAGAGGAAATTTTCTTCATTAATACATGGTTGTCATAAATGTAAATTCCCATATAAGATGTACAGCAGGCAGCTTCCTTCTCTGCTTTATATTCTCATCGAATATAGACTGAAATATAACCCTTTACAGCCTTTGTAATTGGCTGCAAAGTTTTATAGTGATTTACCTAATAGATGTTGCTAAACAAAGCACTTCGTACTGTAGTCTTTTTTCACTGAGAAATTTTTATGTTTTTAAAAACCTAAAATATTTTTAAAGTTATACTCTGATATAGAGGAAAATTATCTTGTGCCTAATATTTAAAAAATGAATTCCTTTGAAATTATTTATAGTGTGAAAACATGTTGTGGAAAATGTCAAGATGGATGATACCCTTTAGAAATAATAAACTTTTCTTTTAAAAACTCACTTTTCTAGGAATAATAATTTTAAAGATCAAAATTATTGTTTGCCTTGACTACCTTCACACTTTTTCAATTTCTAATGAAGTCCATATAATAATAACAAGGAGTTGAGTCCCTAAAAATATGTATTATTTGTAATTGTGCGGAGCTTGTGTTTTGTTTCACATGACCTGAGTGTTCATTTTCTCTGGATAATTTGGAGTGAGGCTTTTACTTTTATGTCTATCAAGCTATAAAATAGCAAACATTTACTCAGTACTACTAATGATTTCGGGTGATATTTTAAAGTGATAACTGTTCATTTTCCCCTTCAATTTCCAAGTTGCTCTGGGGATTTTAGCATACTTGTTTATACTTTGAGCTCCAGATTTTGTTTGGATCCTCTCAATAGATAAAGTGACTTTCATCACTGGGTAGAAAAGGGCCTTGTTAACTGTGGTAAGTGCATATATATCTTTATACAGAGTTCTTTAGCTTTGCCTTCTTTCATTTTCCTTAGTCATTTTATTATTGCACAATTTAGTGAAATTATTATAGCTGGATTTGATTTCAATCCCTGCCTTACCCTTATTTCTAGTTCAGTGAGTCCTAATAATAAAGGCGTGTGAGCACTGATACTTAGCAATTTGTTGCTTTCTTCTTTTTGCTGTATCCCCTACACATATTTATAGATCTCCTTTATTTTTCTTTCTCCCCAAGGGAGGATAACGTTTTCCTTATTCCTTTACTGGAACCTATGTATTTCTCACCTAAATTCTCATGATTCCTTTTTTTGCGTTACTCTCTGGCATTTACCACATAGTTCTTGAATTACATAGTTATTAACACATGTCTTTCTTCTACTCAGCTTTTCGCTCTCATTTTGCACAGGATCAAGCCTAGCACTTTGCATGTTGCAGAAGCTTAGGATATGAATATGTCCCCTGATAAGCATAATTTTATACATTGAATTAAAAAAAACTGTACTCTCTGCATTTAGAAAGTTAACTAAAATATATTCATGGGGGTTATGTTTTTTGTTAATATATATTAATACTAGTATTATTTTATTACTTCACCTTTGAGTAATTATACTGTGAGGGAGAATTATTTATTTTAAGGTGGCGCAAGGGGTTAAGCACTGCACTATGAAGCAATCCACAGCCTCTGCAGCCCGCTGCTCCCCTCAGCAGTGTGTTTTAGTCAGTCTGCCTGTTCTGTTTCCCACTCTGTCTCTGATGGATCCTCTCACCCACTGCATCTCTGGTCTGTCCCCCAGCTCTTGTGAGCATAAATAAATAAATCTTAAAAAAAAAAAAAAAAAAAGAACCTGTCTCAGAATACTGTGTGAAACATTCTTTTTTTTTTTTTTTTTTTAATTTTCTAGAGGCATGTCTTATTTATTTATTTATTATTTGTTTGTTTGTTTGTTTTATACATGCACTGGGTACAGTCAGAAGACGGGAGGGTGAGAGAATTCACCAGAGCCAGAGCGGGGAGCAGAGCAGGCAGAAGGACCTAAGGACACTGCTGAGGGGAGCAGCGGGCGGCAGGAGAGGTCTGCGCGCCATGTGGGACCCTCCTCCGGTGGCCGGGGAGCAGCCGGGGATTGAACCGGCTGCAGAGGTTGCAGGCAGCTTCGCAACCCAGCGCTCAACCGCTGCGCCACCGGGGAGGCCCTGTGTGAAACATTCTTAACATGAACAATGCAGTAATTTTCCAAAATGGGCTCTGTTACCTTTTTAGATTATCAGTGTTCTCAAATTAGCTGGAAAAAAAATTAGATTAAGCATTTACAGGTTTCAGTGCTATGCATATAATATAAAACATTATTCATAATGGTCCATCATTATGTAAAAATGAACATAAAATTTTATAATAAGTTTGAATAATGTTCATATTTAGATATTGCCTTCATTTATGCCACAAAGTAATGCTTCTTAAATGTATCAATTGCAGTCAAGTCAGGAGGCAGTGACTATTCTGGGTGCTAATTAAGATTGGGTTAAGATGATAATATCGTTTGTTTTCTTGTATTTGTGTCCAAAAAGTGTATAAGCAAACCTAGCTGTTAAAATACAACTCTGCCATACATAGTTAGTGTTTTTTTAGACCACTTGCATGTGTTTATTTAGTATTAGAAACTTAGATTGTATATTAATAGAGTTTATATATATAGTAAGTTAGTCAGGTATATAAAATGTTATTTATTGAATTTGTATTTTAGACCACAGTGCAGAATCAAATCCTTTTTTAGAGGGTTTCTAAATGTCTTATTAATGCTTAAATGAATCCTAACCTTTCTCTTTTTACTATAATTTCTGGTTTATAAGTTTAAAATGCCCATGAAAATATCAAATTTATAGCGGTTTTAGGTTTGTTATACTATTAGCTAGTATGTGGAGAATTGGCCTAGATAATGTTTGAGGGTTTTAGACTTGAGCATGTCTGTTTTATGAAATACGTGGGATTATACAGTGACAGTGTAAAATTTTAAGTACTCTGTTAATTCTATACCATGACTGATGATTATCTAATTAGGTAATATGTGAATGGTTAACATCTTTATTTCCCATAGGCATTTGATTTTTTTGACCTGTAGAATTTGGGGAATAGTGAGGTAACAGTAAGGCTTTACATCATTTATATTATTATAGTATGATATTATGCCTTTTATTTTACATGTTAAATCAATGTTGGAACTTGGCTGCTCTAGAAATTTGCAGTTTTTTCAAAACCTAAATAGCAAAGGCAGAAGTTTTTTTGTAATATTTTCTTCCAAATTGCAATTTTCTCATACAGTCATACACACACACTAATGAGGGTCACTTTAGAAATACAGGAGCATAGAACTTTTTTTTCCTTTTTTCATTATGATTAGGCAACACATTCCACACTTCCTCATTTTGAATTACAGTGAGGTGCATCCAAATCCTTAAAACAGGTTGTTTCCTTTCTAGAATTCTTCTTATTCCAATATTTTCAAACTTATATTTGTTATCCTTAATTTCCTTACACATCTTGAAATTAGAGATTTTATTAACAATTATCCAGTATTCTAGCCTTGTGTGATAAATTTGATGTGGTGTCCTCCTGTTTTTCAGTATTATTTTCCTAAGGATGCCTTTTTGCTATGAATGAAAATATCTGAATACATCCTACATTATTGCAACACTCACCCCTTTTCAGAGTTCTTTTTGGTGCCTTTGTATATTCCTTTTCCTGGCTGCCTTTATTTCCTTACAAAATAAATGTTCTAATTTATCCTTATAACAAGGTATAGGTTGGAGTTAGTAATTACTGTACATATTATTAAGTAATAATTATCTGTATCTTTGCATATACATTCATATACCATGCCAATTATTTCTATGATTATAAGTCACCAAATATTGAAAGTAACCAATGTTTAGTTGGTACTTAGTTTTTCATAAAGTATCCAATTTAATTTCTGGTATTACAGGCTTCTTTCTGCTCCATTCATTCATTCATCCAACATTCCATACCTATCTTCTGTAGATCATATATATCATATCATATATAGTGATCTATCATATGGATCACTGTTCCAAGTGTCATGAGAAATAAATAAATATATATTTAATGGTATTGTTTCTTAAGGAGCTCAGAGTTGATAGAATGATTAAGACATTATCCAGTACATTGAAGCTAATGTATTATAAAGATATATGATTACTTTTGTTGTGATACAAGGTGTTGACCTGGGGTGAGTCTTTTCTTTTTTTTACTGGCCTTTTTATTTTTAAGCATTCGTATTTAGACATATATCCTTGTCTGTGAGAATCCACAAATTTAGGTGCACAGGTAATTGAAGAATTGATTTAAATTCAGAGGGATTAACTAGAATTTCATTAAATGTCAGATTTCTACTATGTAAATGTTTGCCTTCATAAAATAGTTAATAATGAATAAGACACTGGAAACAAAAAGAAGTATTGTAAGATTATTTTTAATAGCAATCAGTCTAAAGTAATGTAGAATTTAGTAACACAGAATTGAAGATACCATAAAAAACTGTGATAAAAGAACAGATAGACCCTGAAG